TTATTCTTCTCACATTCGACTGTGATTGGTCAATTTCTTACTCTTACTTCTTACTCCGTGTATTGTAGACGGGCCTTAAGAGTCTGTGCTTCCCGCTTAGGCTGAGTTTCCACTGAGCGCGTCACGCGTCGCGTCGTCCATCGCGTCACGACGCGACGCGAAAGAGAGAAAGAGAGGGGTTGTGTAAATATATAAACTTCACTCTTCCTCCTTTTGCATCGCGTCGTAATGCTTAGTGGAAACGTACCATAAGACACCTATAATTTGTTTCACTCTAATTTATTGCACTCGTACATACAGACTAGGGACTCTATTCTTGAAAAGAAACGTATAGAAAAGAAAATCTAGGGAAATGTTACAGCATACGTTACGTATACTATAGTATTTCCCTAGACTTTCGTATACGTTTCTTTTCAAGACTAGAGCCCTAGTACAAAATTTTTGGAAAAAACAGATCTCTACTTTGCCGACTTTAACTAGACCATTGCATGCACCCATAGTAAACAGAAGTGTAGATAATCTTATTTGTTATGATATTTTGAGGATCAAGTTACAAAATACAACTTTTTAGCAAATTTCGCAGCTTCATAAAACATAACTAAAAAAAGTTTCGTGATAAAATATTGCTTCTGCGAGACAAAATATGAGTATGGTTATTTATCTGCAGTCTGCACCGAGAATGAGGTGTAGATGCATTATTTAAGCAGAGAGAAATCTGATGAGATATGTTGTCAACGGTATGATACTAGCGGCTAACATGTGTTTACATACACTTTAATTTAATTTTTTTCTCACACGAAACGAATTATTGTTTATTCTGTATTGATTTATTCAATAAGATATCGTGCAAAGATATACAGTGTATATTATCACAGTGTACGTATATACGTACATCTAATACCTAAGATCAGTGTAAAATTGGTTATACAGTCAGGATAAAGGAATAGCACCAAAACGGTATAACTCTTATAATTTTTTTTTATCCTATTCTGCGAAATTCAGTTAGATCAAAAAAGATAAATAACTATCAGAAAAAATAGATTGTAAAAAGTCAACAAAAATGTCAGGGCCAATGGTATTGTGTCAACTATGGATGGGTGGAGTGAGTAAATTGTTTAAATAATTTGAAGAATAAATTATTTCTCCGTCCACAGATATTCCACACAACATAAGTGTTATTATTAAAAATCATCTGATTGTAGTTGGAGCCATATATGACAGAGAGCTTTATTATGAATGCATTTCACAAAATGGGCGAACAACCACAAACAGTAAAAGTTATGCGGAATCGATACACTGGTGAGCCTGCAGGATATTGTTTTGTACATTTTCCAACTGATGAAATGGCGCTCGATGCCATGCACAAGTTGAATGGTAAAGTGATACCTGGCTCAAATCCTGTAAGTATTAGTATATAATGCGTTAAATTTTATAAATACAATATCTTATGCTATAATTAAGCAATAATTGTTATTATTTTTAATATTGCTTAAAGCGACAATCAATAATACCCAAATCAAATTAACTTTTTGGAAGAAAGCCATCTTATGTACATCTTGGCTTTTTCCTGATTTCATTATAGTTACAAGTTTTGATAAAAAAAGAATCTATAAATCTGTTACTAAAGAGTTTCATTACAAATATAGAACTATAAGTGCAATATATATCTCCTGTTATATTTGAGTAATAATTATTATTTTTAATAATAACAATCAATAATATCTAACAATAAGTTGAGTTGGCTTCTTGTAAGGAAGTCATCCTATATAACTTTTATAGAAAAAAAAAGATCTATAAATTTTTTATTCAAGTTCCTTCTTTATAAGTACGGAATTTTTATAAGTACAATATATATTTTACACTATATTTAAGTAGTAATTGTTATTTTAATAATAATAAGAATCAATAGTATTTAAGTTGAGTTGACTTCCTGGAAAAAAATCATTCTATACAGATCTTAACTTTTTCCTTATTTCGTATATAATAGAAAAAATTCATAGAAAAAAAATTATAAATCCTTTGCCTTAATTCTACTATACAGAATTAAGCTTCTAAAATTGATTTAGAAATTTTATTCTCCAAGTCATATAATGCCACAATGTATCTACCTTCATTTTTTAGATTAAATATTTTAAGAATTTTTTCTGTCAATGGAATATTTTTTCAGTTAAAATTTTTGGTATATATATATATGACACCAAGGATGACAATTCTAGATACTAAACCTAAATTTTAACAAGTATTGCTTTAGCAATGAGTTAATGAACGTTGTATTCCTTGATGTGTTTTATAGCCTGTTCGATTCCGATTAAATCACGCTAGCACTACTGGGAAACCTGCTGCTGAGCGAGAATTCAGTATTTGGGTAGGTGATCTGTCCACCGACGTAGATGATTATTCCTTATATAGGGCATTTGCTGCGAAGTATAATTCAATCAGAACGGCTAAAGTTATATTGGATAGTTCTGGATTTAGCAAGGGCTATGGGTTTGTCAGATTTGCCAATGAGGAAGAACAGAAAAACAGTCTAATTACTATGAATGGCTATAGAGGACTTGGAACAAAGTCTTTGAAAATCTGCAATGCGGTGCCTAGACCTTGGAACAAAATATCGGGGTATGTTATTTTATGTATTAACTGTACATTAAAAAATATAAATAATATGTTTGTAAATAGGATAAATTCTTTTGTCTGGTCATGATTCTGAACAAAATATTCGCGTTCGACATTATATTGTATAGAGAAAGAATTATCTATAATATTTAATTAATAATTTTAGTTCATTTTAAATTAATGATTTTAGTTCAACACCACCACAATCAACTTCTGAATATCCAGCATCAAACATGAATTCAGAGGCATATAATTATTATGATACATCATCATACTGGAATAGTTACAGCGCTTGGCAACAAGGTTACTATGAAAGCGAGCCGACATCAGATACTTACAATAGCTATGTATCTGATCAAAAACCTGAAGAAGACGAATTAGAATTAATCGGTATGTTATTATCTTCTTACGATGATGTAAGGAAACAAATATGTATCCCATGTTCTTAAACAAATCTTAACTATGCTAGTCTAATATTTTATATTTTCTTTTTTTATAGAGCATTCAATCCCCATTGACATCGATAAGGTGAACAGAGAAATAATTGAACAAGATTATAATTTATGGGATGCTTTGGAAAGCTCAAAATGGATTCCTTGTGATACTATAGAATTATGCTATTAATGATTAAATTTAAAAAAATAAGACAATCTCAAAAAATACATTATCATTATTATCATTATCACTATTATCACACAAATGCAACAAAAATAAAAATTTTATCTCGTGCAAAAATGCCAAAAATAAATTTTACGCAATCTTTTAAATATAAAAGGGTATATTTTATCAATTATGATACTGAAGATAATAAAACCATCACTTTCAGTATATAATATGTGCAATTTTTATTGCAAAAATAAATAAATGCATTTTTCAGTTGCTCAATGTTTTACATGCGGTTTATATATTCTGCAGCTTTATTATTATTTAAAAGCCATTTAATATTCGCTGATATAATTTTACAAAAAATATTTATGGCAGTATTTTTAATGCTGATAATTATCATAACACTATGCTTTAACCGCTACATGCTCGTAGTTGATGTGTTTACATACATTCTGATACTTTTTTTGCAAGAAAATCAAATTGTTTTTATTTTCATACTGATTTATTCAATAGTAGTGATTGTAATGCACAATGTATTACGTATGTGTGTGTATATATATATACACACACACACACACACACACACACACACACACACACACACACACACACACACACACATATATATATATACACAGTCCTGGTGTATTTTTATAATTAGAAATAAAACAAATTATGAATTCCGAATAGACATAGCATCTGAGCAATAATTTTTTGTATACCATCATTATTTCTCATCTCGCTCTAGAAAACTATTCAATGCACAAATTGAATGGCAAAATAAATAGACGTATAAAAAATTCCGCTATCGCTTTCTGATAAAAAAATTAAAAAAGTAGATTACATGACCCTCGTTTCGTAGATATATTAATCGAGCCTTATCATATTTAACACAATCTGCGTTTCGTCGCAAAATAACTCTATATCTACAGATAGAAAATGTTTTATACATAATTTGCAATTAGTATAAAAAATTTGTTTACACATTTATATATACGATATATATATATGTGTGTATATATATATATATATATACATATATATAAGTGAAAAAAATAAAAATTTATCTTATGCATAGTTTACATAAATTTACAACAAAATTTAATATCCTATCAAGGAATATTCCAATTTTTGTAACTTTATATAAAGTTAGATTATAATTAAATGCAATGCAAAAGATCATTTTTCAGAATCATCCACAATATCAATCGGTTCGGTAATTTCCGGTTGATTGGTCAAAGATGGCTCCGATAGCTGATTCCCAGACGCCGCGCTAGATGTGACTGTTGTGTTAGAGTCATTGGAGGCAACCATATAAACTTGTAAAATAGTATTTCCAGGATTCTCTGCAGATTCTTTCGAGACGATTACCAAGGCTCCTGGTTCCATTTGATTAATATTTGGTATCATCGACATAATATTATCGGAACAAGACGGTTCCGTGTTTTCGCTATTCGTAACTTGTGTATTTACATACTCTGTAATTTCTACAGCTACATGTGACGGTATCTTGTTGTCTACCGGTAATTCTTTCTCTACATTATTACTGTTACGTGTAGTTAAGTCAGGCGCTTGTAACTTCCTTATCTTCTTCGACAATCTGCCAGATCTAGTCGGTCTGAGTTGATAGACTTCCTCAGAGCTGTCTGAATCAGCATCTGTACAAGAGCTATAATCATCGAATTTGTCGTCCGAGCGCTTTTTCGATCTCCGCGCTTTTTTCTTTGCCATTTGTTGCAGAACGTTATTTGTATCGCTACAAATTTCTGTATCGATTTCATCGTTTGTCGTCGACACTATAGTATCTTCAAGTTCTGGATCATTGAGTAGTGATCCACATTCTCCAATACTTTCCGCTACTAATCCTGCAATTGTTTGTTTTGGATTAATTTCCCATAAATCTATGTAATCGTATAAAATATAATTCTTTAATATGTTAAGAAATTTTCTATTGTACTATTATATAATCACATTATTTAATTTATAAAATTAAAATTATACTTACGACGCTTGCGTTTTCTTTGATTTCTGCTCAAGGACTGTCCACTCTTAGATTTCTCCGGTGCTTTTTTGGATGTGTTTTGTATATTTTCCAGATTTTGTAGCATTTCTAAGGGCAAAACATATTTTGTAATTTACTTGTTTATAACATGTATATTAAAACCTGAAGGACAAACACATATGAAAGATGTTTCAAGAGTATAGACAAATTTTTATTGTTTACATAATTACAATTTGAAGTTTAACTACAATTATAATAAAATCATAAACATGATATAAAATGATTTTTAATCAAAACATTGACTGCGTTCAGCAAAGAAAACTGATCAGTGAGCGGTCAGAATCTAATATGTAATTGGTTTTTACCTTTAGTTTTTCGCTGGATCTAAGTATAGAAATCAATTATATTAAAAAATCACTGAGCGCTCACACTATTCAGTTTTCTTTATATATATATATATATATGTATTTTTCTTTTTCTACTTGAGAATACTCTCAAATAATTTGTCAAAGTTTTTTTACGCTTATCCTCAAACAATGTTTTATATATTTCACAACTAGTATATATAAAAGTAGAAAAACATCTATAAACAAACATACCTAGTTGCTCTTGTAGCATATCAGTATCAAATTCTTGATGATATTTGAGAGCTTTTTCAACTAATTGTCGGTTAACCCTTTCCTCCTTCTTATATTTCTGTTTAATTTCTTGTCTACTTCTATTTGGAAAGAGTGTCTGCATCAATAGAAAATCCGTACCTACTACATTTAAAACTCTATAAAATTTAAATGTTTCCCATTTCGGCCACTCCTTGCTCCTCTTATGCCTTTTATAGAAACCGCCGCTATGGAAATTATCATCTTCTATAGCAACACTATTCGTCAATATTTCTTCATCTCTTCTCACATCTGTCTGCTCTATTACAAGACTTTGTTCATCTATTATCAATTGACCGTCGGGACCCACTTTCACTTGCGGCGTGGGCATTGCCGATGGATCATCTTCGTCTTCTTCTTCCGGCATTTCCACTGGTCTATAAAAAAATGAAATCAATAAAATTCTTGTACAAATGTTTTATATTTCGTTATAATTTAATATACTTACTGCGGTGTAGTTACTGATTCTGCTCTACGTTCAATTGACAATTTTTTCATAGGATTTGTCACTGGATTATAATATATCAAGTCGTACATTTTCAACTGACTTCTATCAGGTGCTCTATTTTCGTGTTTTAGTAAAAACTCCCTTCTAGCTTCGGCCAGCTTTCTCGCAGATTCCGAAACTAACGTGCGTCTTTTCTGTGTTATTTTAATTTTCTGAGGACTGTTTTGATTATCATTGATATTAGTTTCCTTATTGCTTTGTACAGAGCAGACAGAATCATTTCGTACACGGTTTGGCACAACAGATGCGACTCTCTTGCTGTGTTCATCCTCAGATTCACTTGCGCTCGCACCGCTTCCTTGTATACTGTTCTTTCTTATTCTACCGCTACTGTCCAATCTTGGTGTAGGTCTCATAAAACATGGACGATTCTGTATTACCTTTGTAGGAGAGGCTGAAAAATATGTATACTAAGGAACATATAATTATAAAGAAATTATATTGTTATATCTATAATCTTAAAGATTATTGTAGATATATTGATAGTAATCAAAATATAAAATATTTTCGTGTGTCTCCCAATTTCTTTTTATCTTACCAATATCTGTTACTGTAGACACATCTGATGGCGGAATATTTTTTTGAATTGACTGATCAGTAACTTTGTCAAGCTTGAATCCAGTAGATGGAGATTCTTGAAAGTTTGGCTTTGCCTGATCATGTAACTCTTGAGAGTTTGGCTTTACTTGAGCATGTAACTCTTGACAATTTGGCTTTGTTTGAGCATGTAACTCTCGAGAATATGATTTGATTGGAGAACATAATTCTTGGGAATTTAGTTTAACTATAACTGATTCTCTTAAATTGACTTTATCTTGTTTCTTCTTAGTTTCCTCTTCAACCTTTTCAATATCTTTGGCAGCTTCTCGTTCTGGTATATCAATACAAGGTATATCTTTCTCTTCCAGTTTTTCTTGTTTTAATATATCAATATTGGATATATCTTTTTCTTTTCGTTCCTTTTGTTCGAATGTATTCTTAATCACATCTTTCTCTCTCTGTTCTTTTACCAGTGCAACATCTTTGGTAATTTCTTGCACTGTCTCGTTGATATTAGATATGTTTTCTTCATTCTTTTCCTTATCAACATCATTGTTAGTTTCAGTAGAATCTGCTGAATTCTGCGTAGGCTTTTTTCGAACTGGCACAGCAGCTAAAGCTTTAATACGCAACCGACGCAGCATTATTGGATATATATTTCAATAGAATCTGTAAAAAATACGTACCAATGAATCATAAAGCAATAATCTAGTTCATCAATAAAATTACCAAATTATAAAATCATACATTTGGCCTTGTGACCTATTTTTTTAGCTGAACTTCTTGCATAATTCTTTTCTCTTTTTCTATTTATATTGGAAGGAAAAAAAAGATTAACTCTTATATATAAAAAATTAAACTAAAAAGAAATCCAACCCACTGATTAACAAAAATTGCTGCAGATTTACTTTTCAACTAGATATTCTGTCAATGCAGAAGGACCAAGAAAGGACATAACAAATCAGCAAATATTAATAGATGTAATAACGCCCTCTCTATCTCACGTTTCTTTCGCGTATCATCTTGAGAAACAGTTTGAATATCACAAACACAATTTGATATCACAAACACAAACAAAAACACGCGAAATGTCTTTTTTCTAAGTTCTCACCGGATGGTAGAATAATAGCGTCTTCAATCTTTTGACGTTATACAGTGCTAGATAGTTACCCTATTTCTTCTGTCTTAAATCATTCGATTAATTTTCTTCACAAAATTAAATTTCCTAATTTTTTCTTCCTTCTCTCTCTTGATCAAGCTATAAATATGCTCTACGCGAGATGTCACATGTACTTGGAGGTTATTTCGTTGTGTCACTCACCGACAACCGAATTATTACGACGAGCGAGTGAAAGGCGATCTCCGTAGTTCGTCAAGAGTCAAAGAGACATCATCGTATCTCCGGTGATCCTTCGCTATCTATATACAAGCGGCTGCGTGGTATCACCTTGTTATTGCGGAACACGTGGAATCACATGCGACCAATATGAATTCGACGTTGTCCGAATACATTAGACTCAAAGAGAGGAAAAGTCATTCACGAGTATCGATCATTTTAATGATACCTGCATTACGCTCATCCTCAGTCTTATCTTCTCAGTTCGTAAATATGTGCGTATCAATGTGTGATAACATCGATCACATTTATTCTCTTCCAAAGGAGACGCATCAGCGCGTCAAGTGCTTCTTAAGTTACACCCCTCTCTTTCCTGGGTTTTTTTTATAAAGAAACGTGATGCAGAAAGAATAAAACATTTGCGAATAAAATAAATAGGACCTAATAGATTTGTTCTTTTTATAGTTGCATTACTTCATATTTTCTACTTTCAAATTAAAATAGGTAAATAATTAATTGGACGTTAGAATAAATGATTAAGTATAATATTTTACACTTTTAGATTTGTTCCATCTGTCACTAAAATTTTTCATATTTTTTTCTCTTGTTCAATACATATTTATTTTATTTCAGATATAAAGCATAATAATAGGTCTGTCGTTTATTTCTATACTCACTGAACTGGTGCACACAGTGTAATAAGTTGAAACGAAACAAATATACATTTATTTCACTTCAACTTATTACACCATGTACACCAGTTCAGAGAGTGCAGGAATAAAGAACAGACCTAATATAAATACACATAAAGAACTATAAAAAATAGACTTGACAGTCTCTATAACAATTAAATATTTACTATAACCACTAAATTAAATATTTAAATAAATAGATAATTTAAATGGAAAAGAATGAACAGCTATTGTCATATAAAATAATTAAAAAATTTTGGGACATTTAATGGGCTTATGCAATGTTCATATGTGTATATATTTAACATAATTATTTAACTTACACTGTATAAGTATAGAGAAAATTAAAAAGAGGAAAGGATATTGTAAACGTACGCAACATTGAAATTTTCTTGTTTTATATTTCTTAATTATTCTCTTCAAATATTAAATACAAATATTTTTACGAATAATACAAATACTTACACAAATATTCATAAAATGCTACATGATATATTTTTGCATCTTGAACTCCTAAACTTTATGTAAGCGCCAGATAAAAATTTACAATTTTATTAAAAATATTTTATTTCACTATTTACCTTTATCACTTTATTTATAATAATAATAAAAAATAGTATAAATCTAATGGCTGTCCATAAATTGTATATCCGACAATAACAACACTGTATTTGGTAATGGTCTAGGTTGCGGGCTAAGTACTGTAAATGTTTGCCTCTCAACGTCCACATTAGTCCTGTAAATAAGAAATATATCTTTATAAGAAAAATAATATCGATTATTAATCCTCTGTCTACAATCTGGATCTTTTTCGGCATAAGCAAAATTTCACTTTCGAATTTCTGTAAAATAAAGAAGAATGGTTTCCCCTCCTAAATTAATTGAGAAAATTATTTGATAATGTAATAGAGATAAAAAGTAATCTTGAATTTTTTTATATTTTTTAAAAAACCTAAAACAGTAAATAAACTTGGATTGAACAAAGAAAGATCCAAATTGCAGAGTTAATAATAGTAAATATCAGATTATTGAATATTGTATACTAACACACAAACAAATCCAGCTACATTAGTTTGCACTACATCATCCTCAGGAGAATCGGCAAAAGAAACAGACAGCAAATGATGCAGCAAACTGGGTCCCGGTGTAACAGCCACCAGTTTTGTCAGATTGTCCTCTGCCTTCATACCCAATGGCATGCAAGATGCTGGTAGAACAGGTGCTCCGATTTTGTACAATCTCGCTTCGTTCCACTTTACCTCGAAACTATGTGGATACAGTGGTGTCCGCGAACCATAGAAATATTCTCTAACACCCTGATCTCTTGCTTCACTTCTTTGCGCCTGGCTTCTCTCGACAACTCCGCCACTCTTTGGCAGAAAGACTACCTTCACAAAGTCTGGCATGTCTCTCACCAATTCGTTATAGAGTCTCTCTTGATCCAATACAAGAATTGCATCCACTTCAAATGCCTGTGCAGCATGCGTAAGCAATTTATAACCCTCTCCTTTGATCCAGCCGCATGTATTTATAACAATCCCCGATGCTTTGGCTTTTTTGTTGGCTTGTAATCTATCTGAGCAGACCTCTGCTAAACGTGTTACAAGTAAGTTGTATAGCGTTACATTGGTTTGTGGCGATTTGTGTCCAAAATGGAAAACCAGTGGAGCTTGCTGGCTGAAACCTTCTACTATATTGGATGGTCGTTCTACCAACAAAGCACCCACAGTCCCAGGAATCGCTATATGTCCTTGACCAACATCAAGATCAACAAAAATTGGTCTTCTGCCCATTCTAACAGCATAGTTCAATAATATTCTACAAAGTGTAGACTTTCCTACATCGCAAGGTCCTACTATCATTGTTATTGGCCCTCTAGTGTCATCCTTCTCTGCCATCTCTCTCATTCGCTCCATTGCTGCATGACAATTCAAGTACAGACCCATAGGAGTCTCCTTTGCTACATAGCTGACGTCTGTTTTCCCGACTAATTCAATAGTACAGCCCTGCCAAGTAAAAACTGCAACTTTTGCACCAGCAGTAAACTCATACTTTTTCCCTTTCACCAATTCTGTACCAAAAACTTCTGCCAAGCCATTCTTTAACTGCAATAACAAAATTTTGTGTTACACAATAAAATAAAAAAAAATTAATAATAAATGGAATTAATTCTTTATGAAAACATCATGTCCTATTACCTCCAATGTAACTTTTTCATTTTTGCTCTCCAGTTCAAACCTCAACTCGCAATCTGGATCCAATTTAAATTCTTGCACTACAGACTTTTCGTCGGCCATTTCTCTATTATTTTGGATAAATTATACAGATGAAATTAATTACAAAAAATTTGTTAGCTCGACGTTGAGTTACTCTTGTGCCAATTTTTTCGCATTTCGCAATATATATCAATTCTTGCAAAACAATTATTAAATTTTGTAAATATTTATGAACGAATCGGTAAATAACTGGAACAATAACAAGATCGTTATAACCTCCAATGCTTTAAAATAACGAGTATCTCATACATCTCGTTCAATCTCGTCAGAATAAAGTACATACAGACATTTCTTAATTGTTCTAAACTAACCTTAAGTTCGTTCGTATTGCTCAATCATGTGGTCTGTTTTCTGTTCCTGCACTAGACTGTTCTAGAACTCTCTTCCTCGCTTTAAATAAATATTAAACTGTAGGGACACACTTCACACACTCCGCGAACAGATGGCGCCAGAGTAAGCCCGGATCCTCATACGGGCAACAGCGCTTTGACACAGAGCTCTGATTGGTGAAAAGCCGGTTGTAGGGGTAAAATTACCTTCATCATCCGTTTTTCACCAATCAGCGTTTGGTGTCAAGGCCCGTCTACAATACACGGAGTAAGAAGTAAGAGTAATAGCGTTTTCGGCCCGACCGGGTTTGCACCAACCTGGGTTGGATTAATGGCGTTTTGCGCTCTCCTATTGGTAGAGCGTGTGACATCAACCAATAGGAAAGATTAATCCAACCCAGGTTAGTGCAAACCCGATCGGGCCGAAAACGCTATAAAACTC